AAGCCAGATGCCAAAGCTGAAGAAATCAGTTCAGTTGAAGAACTGATTGCGAAGGCTTATTTAGCAATTGACAAAGCAGTAAAATCAGGCACTTTGCATAAGAACACTGGAGCACACAGGAAGTCACGCCTTGCAAGGAGGAAGAAGACCATTGAAATCCACCATGGTTGGTACATTCCTGCCGTTACTGCTTGAATGATGCAAGGATGACCAAAGAAATAGGAATTACAAAGCTCCGGTGATCATTTGGTTGTTTGGGAGGAAGTAGACAGCCACCACGAGCTTTCTGGATGCAGAATTGCTTAGAAAAGCTTGGACAGCTGCTATAGATCGATGGGATCTTCTGAACAGCAGTTTGTGTATCTCCCAGGGTGCAGAACAACCCATCACCTTGCTGGAAAAGTGGATAGCTAGCAGGAATTTGATTGGAAAGGAATGGGGGCCGTGAGGGAGGGATTGGAGGAGGCAGATAGGGTTAGGGAGGATGAAGGGAAATTAATTTGAGGGTTAAAAGGAAAGAGTTTAATTTGGTTGGAGGGAAAAAGGGATGGGCGGCAGCTTTGATTGGGATTGGGTGTGAATTAAGGAGAGGGAGTTATAGGGATTTAATTAGATTGGAGAGAGAATAAGGGCGAGAGGGGGGGCGGCCATCTTAGGAGGGAAAATAGTTGTCTAGGTTCATTGTGTGTGAGCCCAAGGATTTAAATAATGATTGGGATCAAATCTGAAATTATATTTCAGGTTTGATTTAATTTGGAGGCTTCCTAATTGGCTTCTAATAAAAAGGAAAGTATTTGAAATTCAAAATTAATTGAATTCAAATAAAGGCTCTTTCCTAATTGTTATTGAGATATTTTAGGCAAGTAATTAAGAGCCAATGGAATTTAAAAATTCAAATTAAAGGTGAGTGGTCGCCGGCGGTTTGCTTGGAGTAGGGATTGATTGGATGAGTTTCCTTAAGTGGTCTCGCCTAAAATTAGGAGGAATTGATGGGCAAAATATTCCTCTTAATTTTAATTTAAAGTTAGATACAAGAATTGAGTACTTTCCTAATATAGATTATGTCGATTTAGGAAAGAATTCAAATTCTGAAATTGAAATCAGATTTTGAATTGGATTTCCCTCCTAATCGTCATGCTCTACTTTGGAAATAAACAAATAATTGATTTGGATCCAAGGGGAGGGGAAGGCCGGTGGCTAACTAGGGTTATGGCTTTGGATGTGGTAGTTTGAAGATGGAGAGTCGAATGGGAAGGAGGGTGGATGGGGTTTAACCGTGAGTTAAGGAGGTGGGGTTTGGGGGACCTTGTGGTCGGTGGTGGGGAGGGAGGGCCGGTGGCTTGAGGCTTGGCCGTAAGTGGTGGTGGAGCTAGGGCCGGTTCGGTGGAAGTAGGGAGAGAATGAAGATGACGACTAGGAGCAACAAGAAGGAACAAAAACAAAAGATAAAAGATAAAACCGCGAGCCTTGGACTCTTTCGAAGACTGACGGGTGATACGTTGCCCTTCTCCAAGGGACTTCACGCCACGAGCTCGGACCTATCCTGCAGCTGGTGGAAACTATGAATTCCTCCCATAGGAATCTCATCCAAGGTTCTTCCCAAAGAACACAAGTGCAAACAAAATTTTATTAATAATCCATCATACCTAATACAAGAGAAATGGCCTCTATATATAGGCCTCAAAAGAAATTAAAAGACACAATTGCCCCTTGGGCTTACATAAGACAAGAGGGTAAAAAGGGAAAGTGCAAAATTAAATTAAAATACACTTAATAAACTAAAATAAAACAAAGTGATCTCGGTCGTCGATCTTCGACTCTTCCTTTGAATATCGTCCACCGTCGGATGTCCGCATCACAATCTTTAGGAGGAGGATGCCAAGCATTCAACAGCTGGTTAAGCTGATTAGTATCCCAGTTCTTTTCAATTGGAAACAACTGAGGTTGAGAAAATTGTGTAAGAATTGGAGCCGATATTATTGAAGCAGATAGAACCGTCTTCCCATGCTTGAAAAAGTTCCTTGATCTCAAATTATGATATACCGCAGCAATGTAAAAATTTTCCATTCCTTTATTAACATTAGAAAACTCTTTCAATCCATCTAAACATTGGGAAAGATTAGTGAAAGAATATAAATTGAACCCCCATTGTTTAAAAACCTAAATAATTTCTTTAAGCTTAATACAAGTAGAAGAAATATGATTCAAATCTTCATCTACAGAACAACCCCTCGGACAAACAGAATTATCAAGAAGTATTTTATAATTCAGCCATACATTTGTTGGTACACAATCATTACAAAGCCTCCACCAAAATAGGAATTCCTTAGGAGAACATTTAAGCTTTTTCATCCAATTTAGATCAATTTCAGCAACTTGACTGCTATTACAGGACACATCATAAGCCAAGGAAGTAATATATCTCCCAGAAATAGCTCCAATTAATTCCCGAAAGTCATATTCAACTTCACAATTAATTTGAATAGCATGAATCCTTTGAACCATGCCTTCTGAAAATAGATTTTTAGCAAAGGGATATCCCACTCACCATCATCATTCAAAAGACTATTCACAAAGCTAATGTGAAGACCCTGAATATTACACGTAGCTGGACATTTACTTAAGGGTCCATCAAGAATCCATATGTTATTAATAACACTTATATTCAAACCATTACTCACATGCCATCTAATTAATGGTTTAAGGAACCTTGCTCCATCTTTTACAATACGCCAAGCAGAAGAATCATTCCTCTTGATATCTTCACTCCAAATATTATCACCATATTTAGCCTTCAGAATTTTATTGAGCAGAGAATCTTTATTATGAATAAAATTCCAATCTAGCCTAGCTCTAATAGGACCCCAGTCTCTCGGCAGCCCCTTGAATACCCAAGCCTCCTAACTTTGAAGACGTGCACAACCTCCTCCAAGAAATAAAAAGCAAACCCAGTCAACCATAATCCTTATGCCATAAAAAAATTCCTACATATTTTGTCAATATCCCAAACAATACCTCTAGGGATCAAAGAATGCGACATAAAGAAAGTAGAAATAGAAAATAAAGTAGATTTGACCAAAGCAATTCTGCCAGCTAAAGATAAAGATCGAGAGCCCCAAGTATTGATCTTCTCCATCGTCTTTCGTTTCACATGTTGGAAATCTGATGATTTTAATCTTCTAGTAGCCAACTTAACACCCAGATAAGTAATTTCCTCCAACTTTCTAAAGCCCAAAAGATAATTAATCTTCCTTCTCCTTACTGATGAAACTGATTTCCCATATAAAATCATAGATTTACTCATATTAATTTTCTGCCCCGTCCATTTGCAATAATCTTTCATAATATTTCAGAAAATTCTTTCTTTCTTCCATGAAGCTTCAGCCATTACCAAAACGTCATCCGCATAGAAAAGATGAGTAATTGACCCCTCATTACCTACAAGTTTAATACCAAGCTGCATACCTCTTTCTTGAATAATTTTTTATAATAATTTAGATCATAAGATAAACGAGGAAGAAAGAGGACACCCCTTTTGAAATCCACATTCCGCCATGACTCATTCACAATAGTTTCCATTCATAATGATAGAAAACTTCGGATGAATAACACATTGAAAAATAAGATTAACAATATTTTCCAAAAATCTCATCAATCCTAAAATTTGAATTAGAGTATCCCAACGCACATGCTATCGTAAGTTTGTTCCATACCTAGTTTAATCAACATAAAACCTGACTTTGCTTTGGAAAATTTGAGTTTATTAATAACCTCTTGAGCCATTAAACAATTATCAGAAATAGTTCTACCCAGAATAAAAGCATCTTGTTCTTCTAAGATAATTGAGGGAAGACAAAATTTAATCATACCAGTCACCATTTTATAAATAGTTTGACAAAGGATAATGGGCCAGAATTTAGACATTTCAGAAGCATTATGAACTTTTGGGATCAGAACAATCTATGTTTCTTTCCAATTTTTTGGCATCACTCCTTAAATGAAGAAGCTTTGAATAACATTCCATGTATCATTACTCACAATTTTCCAGTAACATTTGAAAAAACACACATTAAATCCATCTGAGCCCGGAGATTTATTGTTATCCATTCTAAATTAAGTATTACACAATTCTTCTCTAGTAAAATATGCTTTTAACAACTTCTTCATATCATCATTCAATTGAGAATTAGCAAAAGAAGGCCAATTTTGTAAAGAACAACTACACGTCCTCCATTTATTTTGAAAATACTTTAAAAATTCAGATTGAATACCTTCAGGATCATTTTCTAAGTCGCCATTAGGAAGATTAATTTGATTAATCTGATTTCCATTACGTCTAGCAGACACATACGAATGAAAAAATTGAGAATTCTGATCATCATCCTCTATCCAAAGAGTTTTAAAATGCTGTCTCCACCACGTAGCTAATCTTGCAAGGGTAACTTTTAATTCATGACCAAATTTCCTTAACAGTAGTAATTTCTCAGGATTCAGGTCCCCATCCGCAATACTTTCTTCTTGTAACAGAACAATATCTGCTTGCAACTTAGATTTTGTTGACCTCTATGTAATAATCAAAAGAACAAAAAACAAATCTGCATACCTCGTTCGATCAAAGAGATCCCGTAAATCCCGCAAGGAATTCCGCCGGGTTACTGTGCATTCGGCGCCGTTGGCATCGCATCCTCCGCAATCCCTGCCGAAATCCAGCTCTCGATCGTTGCCCCTTTCTCTTCTTTAAATACCGAGCGAATTCCCCACTCAATCGCAGAAGCTCCCATTCTCTACTTCTTCCTCTCCCGATACCTCTCCTCTTCTCCCTGCGCCGACGCTCCCCAAGCCGACGCCCAGTTTACGATCTCCTCTCGCACGAAACTCTTCTCCCATACGCGACTCTCTCCTGCTCCCATCCCGTTCGAACTCCGGCTCCTACCCCGTCTCCCTCCTCCGACCTCTACAGCAAACCGAAACCCCTGCTTGCGATTCATCTCTCCCGTCGGCCCACAGAGAGAGAGAGAGAGAGAGAGAGAGAGAGAGAGAGAGAGAGAGAGGAGAGCACCTCCACCTCTACCGAACCCGCTCCGACGACTTCCCTTTCCAGTCGATCGGAAGTTACGCAATTCCGATCGGAAGCAAGAACCGGAGCTCGCCTGTGTGAAGATAACTTTCTCCCGTTCGGACGCTGCTTCAGCTCC